TGTGTGTGTGTGTGTGTGTGTGTGTGTGTGTGTGTGTGTGTGTGTGTACATACTCAGGCTTGAACTAAAAGCCTGGGCACTGTCCCTTACCTTTTTCACCCAAGTTTGGCACTCTACCACTCGAGCCACAGCTCCACTTCTGGCTTTCTGTTTTGGTGGTTAATTGGAGATAAAGGTCTCACAGACTTTCCTTCCCTAGGCTGATCAAAGCTAGCCTGAGTAGCTAAGATTACAGGTGTGAGACACCAACACCTAGCTTTTACACTTTCTTGCAGAAAAAGCCAGTGGCTTATGTGCCTTTGACTTCAATGTAAGGCAGTATGCTGGCATAATTTTCTGTTTCATTTGAGAAATAATTAGGTTGCAGATTTGTGAATTGTCTTATAATGTATAAATATTTTTGCAAGATCTTAATGATGTTTGATGCCTATCTTGTTAGACTCATAGGAATTATGAGTAAGGAAGCAGCTTTCGAGAGGCAACGACTTGTGAATGACAGCTAGGTGAAGTCTTGTGTGAATAAGGGGTATCCTGAGACAAGCACATGGCTTCGTGTGTGTGTGTGTGTGTGTGTGTGTGTGTGTGTGATTGAGAACACTGGGGCTTGAACTCAGGGCCTAGGTAGTGCTGTCCCTTAGATTTTTCACTCCAGGCTGTCACTCTACCATTTGAACCACAGCTCTACTTCTGGCTTTCTGTTTTGGTGGTTAATTGGAGATAGAAGACTCATGGGTTTTCCTGCCCCAGCTGACTTTGAACCTCTATCCTCTGATCCCAGGCCCTTAATCACCAGTACCCAGACTGTTCCTGAACACTAACTGTGAGCCTTGCCAGGGAGCAAGGTGTGGGGTGGGGCAGGCAGGTGGGCGGGGCATCCTCCATCCTCCATCCTCCTCCCTCTCCATCTCCATGTCCATCTTCCTCTCCCTCCTGTTACTCCTCACCACCTCCAATGACTTGAGATGTCTTTTATTTCTAGCAATGGCTTGTGGGCAACGGACATGCCACGGATCTCTGGCAGAACTGTAGCACATCTTCCTCCGGGACCGTCCAGCACTGCTTTTCGTCATCAGCAAGCGGTGAGATTGCCTCTCTCCTTCACAGTTGCTCTTTAGGAGTTGTGCTATCAGTCCAGACCTGGGAACACCTGTTCTTGGGAGTCATGAGCTTCCCCTGGTTGTTGCTGGGGTACAGTGGCATGTCATACACACCCACAGATCTAAGGTGAAAGAAAGGGAGGCAGCCACTGCCTCTTAAGGGAAACTGACATCCAGGTGTCATGGCCATCCTCTTGGCCCAAGTTAGGCCTGTCAGCCCAGCTGCCCAAGAGGCTGAGATCTGAGGATCAGGGTTGGGTTGGAAGCCAGCGTGGGCTCCTGCCCAGGTAAGGCAGATTAGTCTGTGAGACTTATCTCCAAACACACACACGCACACACACACACACACAAACTCACACAAGACAAGGAGAGGTGTGGCTCAAGTGACAGAGGGTTATCCTTGAGCAAAACAATCTAAGAGACAGTGCTCAGGTCCTGAATGGATATCAGTGAAAAGAAGGAAGGAGAAAAGAAAAACAGAAATGCCTTCCTAATCGCTTATTGTAATGTTTTTTTTGGGAGTAAAACCCTTTGCCTACGTAGGCAGTGCGAGTGATTCGCAGCTGAGCCAGAAGCGGAAGTAGATTCCACCGGGACCTGTGATCTCATGGGCATCATTAGTTTGTTGGCTGTATCCATCCAGACATGTCCAACTTTCTCCTGCTGCCTTGATGTTAGGGCTGTCCTGAGATGCTCCCAGCCACTCTGGGGTTCTCCAGGGACCTCAACTTCCCCTCCCACATCTTGGTCTTTATGCTGTCACTTAGCATCCAAGCCCGAATGCTTCCTTGTTAAAAGGATGGGGGTATGAAGCTATTTGCAAAGCCCTAAGCTGAGGGTGGAGTTCTCCACTCAGGAGATGGTATTTCATCTCTGTCCTCAGCAACTTTGCCTAGGGGATATTGGAACCCAGGCTTACCAAGGGTCATATGAAGGGGCAGTTGGCTGTGGAAGGATCCACTAGAAACATCCTTGCCTTCTCCCCCTCCCCGCCCCCATCCCACTCTGATTACCCAGAGGGGGAAAAATGCTTAACAAGGAAGCTTGTGTCTTTGCACACACAGAGCTCTATGGGATGTTCTGCTTTGATAATTATATATAGATTGGAACTTAGTCACACAAGTTATAGATTGCAACTTAGTCACACAGGTTAGTGCTGAAACCCCGCTCCCACCCCCAAAGGCCCAAGACCTCCAAGGGTCTGGCTTAGCTTGGTCTGTGTTTCAAAGCATGCAGCCTTAGCTTGGAAGGGGAAGTAGTGGCAGAGATCTCCTGATATCCTGGGTTTCGAAGGCCAGTGAAATACAGTGCACTTTCTCATAGATCTGGGGTTTCTGATATGAATGCTGCCCTCAATGAGAGGAGGATACAGTTTAGATCCTGTGCAGGAGGTAAAATGGCCCTGGGCTGTGGCTTTATACCACCTAGTTTCTTGGCTGGACTTTATTTCCCATGGTCTCTGTACTCAAGTGTATTGCTTGAAGCATTGCAAACCTAAATCCTTGGATGTCAGTTCAGTAGAAATAGGAACCACTAACCGGGTGCCGGTGGCTCACACCTGTCATCCTGGCTCAGGAGGCTGAGATCTGAGGATCGAAGTTAGAAGCTAGTCCTGGGCAGAAAAACCCAGGAGACTTATCTTCAATTTGTCGCTAAAAATCCAGAAATAGAGCTGTGGCTCAAGTGATAAAGCCCCAGCTTTGCGTGACAAACCTAAGAGAGCGTGCAAAACCCTAAGTTTAACCCCCCAGGACCAGGACCAGGACCAAAAAAGAAAAAAGAGAAACCACTAACGTATTCACTTGGTAACTGAACTTTTCTGCTCAAGACAGAAATGTTCTACTATTTAAACCTCTGCTCCACTTCTGGCTTTGATCTACGATCCTCAGATCTCAGTCTCGTGAGTAGCTAGGATTATAGACTTGAGCCACAGGCACCAGGCTGAAAAAAAACAAAACACCCTCTGCTTTATATTTCCATCTTCTTGGGGCAGGGGATAGGAAAAGCCCTCCTGGTCCTATTAATGTTTTCTCTGATTACGGGAGATGCATTCATCTAAAATTACCCTAGTGGTTATACGGTGAATTGGAAACCAAGTCAATGAAATACTCACAAGTGCCCAAGAATGCGATGGTAGTGCTGTCCCCAAAGCCACAGCATCCGGTGGCTTCTTCTTCCTTTCTGAGTCTGGCACACTAAGGATGGGAGGAGTCTGTGTGCCCGCTCCTGACCCCTGGTGGCCACAAGTGGCATCTTACCCCTCCCCTTCAGAGCCCTTTTGAAATTCTGCGGCTCTCTGGTCTGGAGTCCACAGGCCCTGTCTCCAAGTGGCATCTGGCCAAGGGGGGGGTTGGCAGGGAGGCCTGGACTCTTAGGTCCGGAAGGGAACAGTTTTGGCAGGCGTGTTAAAACCAGGGTGAGTTTCAGCCGACCAGAGGAGGCAGGGGATTTGCTAAATGGTGGGCAAACTGCCTGTGTGAAGGATGACTCTCTGCCTGTGGCCTGTTGCTGACCTGGGGCTGGGCCTTCTGGTGTCTAGGCTGACCCTTGGCGTTACAAGCAGAACTCTGGATGTTTCCATGTTATGCAGAGGACCTTGCTCCTTGTAAGCAAGCTTATTTCCTGGGGGCCGCTTGCAGTGGCTTTGTGTATAGAGAGCTCTCTGCAGATCTGCCTGGTTGATCTCCACATTTCCAGAATGTTCCCTCTCCTCCACATCTATCTTCTTGACTCTCAGTGGAAGGGCATTCTTAAGAAACTCTGGATGGGGGCTGGGAAGGTGGCTCAGTGGTAGAGCGCTTGCCTTGCATGCTCAAGGCCCTGGGTTCGATTCCTCAGCACCACATAAGCAAAAAGAAAAAAGCCGGAAGTGGCGCTGTGCCTCAAGTGGTAGAGTGCTAGCCTTGAGCTGAAGAGCTGAGGGACAGCGCCCAGACCCAGAGTTCAGGCCCCACGACCGGACCCAAAAAAAAAAAAAAAAAGAAACTCTGGATGGGCCATCGAATGACCTGGGTATTTCCACATGGACTTTATGCTAAGATAGATGCTTCCATTTCAACCTCTGTGCTGTCATTCTCTGCTGATGCGTTCTCTCGTCTGAGCACAGCTCAGGCTGTGGATTCCTGGGGAAATCCTCTTGTGTTTTTTTGATCATCACTCAGTAAATGACAGAGATGAATCGTAGGAAGTGTTTATGAAAGGATCCAGCTGCATGCAAATGGAAATTATTTGTCTGGTCAATGATTGCTCATAGGAGGTTAGAGGCAAACTTTTTGGAAGCAATCCTAAGTAATTTCATTGTGGTTTTGCTGGTAGGAGGGTTTATACTTGGGGTCTCTTACTTGGCACTCTCCTCATTGAGCCATACATCTAGCCCAGCTTTTTGCTGGCTAATTGGAAATGCAGTTTCCCACAGAGTTTTTTTTTTTCAAACTCAGGTTGGCCTCAAATTATGATCCTTTGGATCTCAGCTTCCTGAGTTCTAAGACTACAGGCATGAGCCACAGTGCTTGGCAAAAGTAACTCCTTCTTGGTGTTGGTTTTTGTAGAATAAGTAGATTTTTTTTTATTGAATGGAGATTTTATTTATATATTTGTGCAGTACTGGAGCTTAAACTCTGGGTATCATATTCTCGTGTAGCTCATGGCTGGCACTCTACCATTTGAGCCATGCCCTCCAGCCCCTGTATTGTTTTGTTATTGGCAAGGCGGATCTCGGACTCATGAGCTCATGAGCAGTCTTTCTGTCTGAACCACCATAGGAGCTGGGACTACAGGTGTGCACCTCAGCACAGGCTGTGACCTTCTGCTTTCTTTCTGTGGGCTGTGTTCTCCCTGAGGGTGTTTTCTTGGTGAATTGGGCCTGCTGGTGTGAACTTGCAGGCAGTCTGACCTCTATACAGTAGAGTTCAACAATACAGCCCAGGGGCCCCTAAGCCCCTAAGGGGTTAGATTGCTTACTAGCTAGCTGCCTTCTCCCTCTCCCTGCCTTCTTACCTCCCCCCTCCACCCCTCCACCCTTGCCCTAAATATTTGCCTACTGTATGGCCCTGCCTGAAGGCAAAAGTGAAGGCCTTGGTGGGGAAATCTCCACGGTCCCTCAGGACTACACATGTACACTAGACATTCAGAGCCTATCCTCTACCCAGCCTCCCGAAGGAGTCCGGCTAAGTATGGCAGGCTGAATTACTCAGGGTGACGGCGAGGGCCAGATGAGCAGGGCGTGGGGGCAGGCAGACTGTGCTGGAGTTCAGGGAGGAAGTGGAAGAGAAGTTGCTGGTGGGCGGAGGAATCTGACCCAAAGGACTGGCAGGATTTAAGTGAGGACAGGCAAAGGGGTGGATACTCCCTGACTGGGTGTTGACCTCGCCCATGGCATGGAACACATCTTCAAGTGGCAGTGGCTTAGATAAGTTTTCGTTCCTCTCTTTAAAAGATGTCAGTCGGCAGCCCAAGAAAGGAATGCTGGTATCCTGAAATATTCACTGACTTTTGGGTTTGGCTCCTATCCTCATAGATCAAAAGGCTGCTAGAGCTCCAGCCATCTCATCAGGCTACTAAGCAGTTGGTAGAAGGACAGATTGCATCTTATTCCCTGTTGTTGGTCCTCTGTGATTTGGTTTGAATCGCATTGGATTCACATATTGAATCCAGAGGGGTTTCTGTTGTTGTTGTTGTTGTTGTTATACCTGTCTTGGGGCTTAAATTCAAGGCCTGGGTACTGTCCCTGAGATGCTTTTTGCTTTTTCCTCAAGTCTAGCGGTCTACTACTTGAGCCTACTTCTGGGTTTTGGGTAGTTCATTGGAGATTTCTATCTGGGTTGGTTTTAAAACTGTGATCCTCAGATCTCAGCCTCCTGAGTAGCTAGGATTACAGGCAGAAGCCTCAGGCTCAAGGATGATATTTTTAAACATCTGAATCTGATCATGTCACTCCATTTCCCATTTAATGGGATGACTCCAGCTAGGCCTGCCTTTCCTGA